GGGAGAAGCAGGCTTCCCGCTGAGCAGGGAGCCCAGTGCGGGGCTCAATGCAGGGCTTGATCCCAGGACCCTGGGATCATGACCTGAGCCGAAGGCAGACGCTTAACAACTGAGCCACCCAGGTGCCCCTATCCCCCTTCACTTTTTTATTTATTTATTTATTTTATTTTTTATTTTTTAGAGCGAGTGAGAGCATGTGCAAGGGAGTGGGAAGAGGCAGAGGGAGAAGATAATTTTTTTTTTTTTAAGATTTTATTTATTTATTTGTCACAGAGAGAGAGCACAAGCAGGGAGCGGCAGGCAGAGGGAGAGGGAGAAGCAAGCTCCCCACTGAGCAAGGAGCCCAAAGCGGGACTCAATCCTAGGACCCTGGGATCATGACGTGAGCCAAAGGCAGACACTTAACTGACTGAGCCACCCAGGTGTCCGGAGAGAGAGACTCTTAAGCATGTTCCACACTCAGCACAGAGCCTGATGCAGGGCTTGATTTCACGACCCTGATGTCACGACCTGAGCCAAAACCAAGCGTCAGACACTTAACCCACTGAACCACCCGGGTGCCCCAGGAGATTTTTGTTTCTACTTTATCTTCCAACTTTGTGTTCGATTTTCAGTGTAGATTTCCAAGAGCTCTTTCTTGTTTTCTAAATTTTTTTTATAGCAATCTTGCCTTATGAATCTTGCCTTATGGGTATGATATCTTCTCTTATTTCTAAGGATATTGATCGTTTAGGGGAAGTTTTTTTTTGTTTCCTGCACTGATCTCTTCTGAGTTAACTTTTTGTTTGTTTTTGTCTCTTTCACGTTGGAGGCTCTTTTTCAGATGTCCCATTATCCTTTATTGTCTGTTTACACTGGAGTAATGCATTGCACGGGATATGCACACTGTGCCAGACATTATCCATGGTCCCTGCAAAGGGGAAAGCAGATCTTTACAGTGGAGAGATCTAGCAGTCACTGCCTTTACCAAACTTCACTTCACCACTAGTGAGACAGCAGATGTTATCTCCTGATATGATGCAGTATGAAGTAGAAAATCCATATGACTTGCCAAAAACATCTGATCTGAATCTATCCATGCCTTTAGATCTAACTTCCAGTTGACAGGATTTACAAGAGATACAAGGACAAGTTAAATGATACCACAAGGAAACAATCAGGCAAATCAGTTGTGAGACCCTCCTTCAGTTAAGTGACCTGGTCTCTTCCAAAAGGGAAGGGGACAAACAAAAGGAAGAGGACTGTTCTAGGGAAGAGAATAAAGATACATAATAACCAAATGCAATGGCATTCTAGGGACAATGAGGGAAATTTCAATATGGATTGAATATTAGACTGTATTAGAGAATTATTTAAAATTTTCTTAGGTGCAATCATGGATTATGTATAGATTTCAATTATGTATGATAATGACCTTCTACTGAAATATGTAGGGGTGAAATATCACAATGTCCACAGCTCATTTTCAAATGGTTCAGAGAAACAATATATGGACATATATTTATCTATATTTATTTATCTGTATTTATCTAAAGATATAGCAAATATGTTAAGATGCTAATTATTGTACAACTTAAAAGGTAGGTATATGGGTGTTCATTATACTATATTTCCAATGTTTCTATATGTTTACTTTTTCCATAATAAAAATGTAGGTGGAAAAAAGAGGAAGATACCAAAAAGCTGCTAGAAGCTTGTATGAGCCCTGGGTCTGTGGGCAGGGCTCATCAATCAGTGAGCCAACTGGTTCATGAGAGGACCTTCAGATGTCAGTGTTGACATCTTCTCTCCAGCTGGTCAGAACTCCTACAGAGGAGCCCCCAGTCCCTGCCTGGGGAGTGCAAACCTCACTGCCGGGGGCTGAATGGGGAGGGTGTCTGCAGAGCCTCACCAGTCAGTTCACAAACTTTCACTGAATTCTCCTGTTTTCATAGCTGTCTCATCCTCAACTGGGTAATGCCTCCAGAGAATAAACCAATGGTATTCTACCAGGGAGCACTGGGGCAGTTGCCTGGCCTGAGTAAGATAGTGAAGGAATCTGAGGGTCTGTCTCTTCATACAGGCTTCCCACCAATTCTATTTTCATCCCCATTTTGAAGCTTCCTGATAGTCCAAGTCTGGAGATCTCCCAGGGTTTGGTGCAGAAGGACTTGCTTATCACTGTGAGGCTACAGAGCATGGTCTCTGGGCCACACTTCTACAGATTCTGCTGTGTGACCTGGGACAAGTTATTTAACTTCTCTGTACTTCATCCCCAAAATCAGAGTACAAATTCTAGCGTTGTTGGGGTATTATATGAGTCAATGTACCTTCAACACTTAGACCAGTACCTGGTACAGAGGATGTCCTCTAAGCCACACACACACACATACACACACACACAACCCCCAGCCAACTTAGGTTTCCACTTTATTTGGTCTATGAGATTACTTTCCATCTTCCATAATTTTATTGCTATCTCAAGCCTGCTACTTTCTCTTCTGCTTTCTTTGTCCATGTGGGGTTTGGCCTTTTTTTTTTTTTTCCTTTGCTGTACCGCTAGTAAGGTTTGGGCAGATAGTTGAGTTACATGTATGTTGCATTTCCCAACCTTAAACCACAAGTCTCCACAACTTTCTTTCTCTGTCCCTCCTAATGACCCCCTTCAGGTAGTATATTCATCATATTCTAGCCCAAACTCACTGGAATGCTGCAGGTAGAGCCTGGGGAGTGAATGTCCAGGCTTCTCAGGTCTGAAACCAGCTCTTAATGTTGATCTAGAAAATGGCTGAGAAGTGCCCCAAGATAAACATGCTGGTTGAGCTCCTTTCTGAAATCGGAGTCATCATCACTGGCTGAGGGGAAGGAAGCGCTCGTGGCATGGCGGGCCACCCCCAAGCTTGTGTAAGAATCTTGTGACCCACAGCTGTGTCAGAACAAAACAACCAGCAGGCTTCTCACCCCCGCAGCCCAGAGCTCTTGATTCCTAGGGATCATCTGATCCCTAGAGAACTTAATCTTACCTTCAAAGTGGTAGAAGGGGGTACCTTTGCAAATGACTTACTTGAAGAGTTTGGAATGCTAATTTAGAGGAATGAATTCCCTCCACAGGTAGGATTAGGCCCGTGGAATTCTGTGATCTTCACGTCTTCTTCTGCCTGGGTCATGATGTTGTCCTTCTGCACCTGGAGAAGCCCCACTCCAAGTACAGGATACAACTGAGGAAAGAGTGGCTTTTCCAGTTAAAGACTGATGCTACCTTCTGGCTAGTTGACCCTGTACTTTAGCACTCTCTACTGAGCAGAAATAAAAGAGCTTGGGCTGCTTGTTTTCCATTTGCCATTCCCCACCCCTGTCTACCCTGCTCTATGCCCTGGGAGGCCAACCTCTGATGGAGATAATGGGGGGTGGGAGGAAGGAGAGGCCAGATTATTCCCTATTCCAGAGGGGTGCTCCCCGGCTGGCCAGTTAGCTCTCCACTCCCTGGCTCTAGGCCACTGTTTTCCAAGTGCCTGAGAAGGTGGCAGTCCCACATACCCAGACCTTCCCTCTTGGGCCTTATTTCTGCACACAGTAGGTCCCTGCTGTGTGGACAATGAGAGATAGGGGGCCCACATTCATATGGCCTTGAGCAAAGTTGTGAATTTCCAGCTCTTACATTTCTGGCGGTACTCCTTCCCTTTTTCAGCTGTTCTCAACTTTTAGATTTGCGTTCTTAACAAAACCTCTCCTGAAAAGATACTGAGAATTCATTCACATTAAAGTGCAAATAACTAAATCATCCTTGCTGCCCTTCTTCTAGGGATATTTTCTTTTAAAAACTGAAGTCCAAGGAATGAACCTGTAAATGTAGAATTTCAAAGAGGAGTGGAATTTAATGTGGGCTTCAATTTCCAGTCTTCTGAAATCACTCCTAGCCATTCAACCTACTAGCCTTTGTAAGAGGAGGGTGCATTTAAATGTGGTGAAGAAAGCATAGTGTATAAACTTGTCCAATCACTATGTTGTACACCTGAAACTAATGTAAAATTTTAGGTCAACTATACTCAAATAATAATAAAAAAAAATACACTGCATGGAGGAGATATTAATTCTAGCTTACAGTACTTTTATTGAAAGTGCTTTGGGCTAGGAAAGGGGGAGACGCACTAAAATAGAGCTGTCAGTAGAAATGGTAGGAAGGCGGAGGGAGACTAAGTGTCCAGAGTTTCAGAATTCGTAAGAGCTGTCTTGTGACTTCACTCCCACCCCCCTACCCTTTCACCAGCTATAACACCCTCTTTACTCCAGAACAAGTCTGGGTCTGGAAAATTCTAAGGCAGCAAAGAAAGCCTGGGCCCCCAGAACTCTGTGTTTCATATGCATTTTTAACGTACTGTAGCATGACTTCATAGTTGTCCCATACCAAAAGCTAGACTGTGTGTCGGAGGGCAGGGACAATGTGTCTCCTTCATCCTGTCGTTCTTGTACATAGCTCAGTGTTTGGCACATAGTCAATGCTCAAGAAACACAAGTTGACTAGATGGACACATTACCTCACTGAATTCTAATTTTCTAGATCAACATTAAGAGCTGGTTTCAGACCTGAGAAGCCTGGACATTCACTCCCCAGGCTCTACCTGCAGCATTCCAGTGAGTTTGGGCTAGAATATGATGAATATACTACCTGAAGGGGGTCATTAGGAGGGACACATTACCTCACTGAATTCTCACAAGAACTTTGTGATGTACTCCCTATTATCATTCCCATTCTGTAGATGAGGGAGCTGGAGCTTAGTTAGGTTAAATAATTTGCCCAGGTTACCCAGCTGGTGAGGCACAGAGCTGGTGTTCTAGTCAGTTCTGACCGACTTTAAGGCCAGGCTCCAAACCAGAGCACTTAACTGCATTTAGACAGCACCAGTTTGAGCAAAGGGTGGGGCTGCACCTCCATCTTGATAGTGGTACTCTCATGGAAGAATTTTCATAACCTTCAAAATCTTTGTATACATTTATTTATATCCTTTATATTTTCCCTCCAGGTTAAGCCAACATTTCATGCCATATGAAATTGAAGTTTGTGGAATTCAAAAAGGTAAATACAAATGGCAAAATGATAATGGTATCATGTTCATAATCTGGAGATAGTTTATAATCATGATGCCTCCTTTTGTTTGAAAAAATGGAAATGCTTTTGTGAGAACTAATTTGTTTAGGTTTGTGATTTCATGCTTGAAGTAGGCTGCAAAAATATCCACATGGATATTTCCAGGTTCCAAGTTGCTGGTGGGGAGGAGGGGGTCAGGGGAGGGAGAAGGATTCATTATTAGGTCTTAGCTTGAAATCTCAGGCAGAACAAGGCCATTTTCTCATGGAAATTTTTTAAATACTTAGCTCTGTAGCTGTAGAGCCAAATCTCCTTGGGGGTGAATGTTGTCAGAGGAGTGGAAATCAAGACAATGAGGTAAAAATAAAAGACTCCTTTTTTTTTCCTTTCTAAAATTGTTTTGTTTTTCCTGAGCTGCTGCTTTTATGAGCCGTATGGGAAAGGGATACAGGGGTCATGCTTCACCACACCAAGAAATACGTCTCTCAGTAAGTTGGAAGCAGTCACAGGTTTCCATAATCTTGTGAGAGGAAAATGCCTTGGGTCATACTGAACTCATGTTCCTCATTCCTAATTAGGAGTCCTTCAGAAACCTTCTAGGATGCATTCCAGTTGATTAGCCCTCACCAATATTATTTTGCTAATCATGGGTTCGACTAGAAGCTCACAGAGCCAAACCAATGGGAGCTGTTGGGGAACTAGAATTAAAAACAAATCTGCCAACCTCTCCACAAAGGTAGTAGAGAAGGAAGACAGTTTTCTTATTGAATAAGCTTTCAACCAGAATGTGATGTGCGTCACAGGCCATCAGCTAGAGATTGCAAAGACAGAAAGGAGTCTCACCCTCTGATACAGCCAGGCAGACACAAACCATTACCTACATAATAACCAGTCCTCAAGGGCGTGACAGCACCATTTGTCATACAAGGTTCATCCTAGATTTACCTGATAATTGGGGTCACCATCTGTTAGCTAATTGGCTTCTCCTATCTTTATGACAGAAAGTAGTTTTGCAACGTGGAGTGAGGTACTTTGCCGAGTTAGGCTCCTGCCCTTCCACAGAGACTGGGAGGCAGGCCCTATCTTCCTAGATGTTGACATTTCAAAGGGATTGGTCCCAGGTCCTTGAGAAAGACATTCCTGAGTCCTAAAGCTGGCAACAGCTTTATTTAGCTTTTTAAAGGATTTACATACATTTCAAAGAGACAGAGGAAAGAACTTACAAGTTGTCTAAAGTTAATGCTCTAAGAAAAGGGATGCAGGGGAGAAGTCTCTTCTTTTCAACGGGGACAATTAACTCTCCTATTTTGAATTTGTATTTGTCCTTACAGGCCAAGAGGTGGCAGCAAAGGTTGGCCTCTCCACCTCCTGTTCACCCAGGGACTCTCCCATCTCATCCCAGGCTCTGCAGAAAGAGGCACAGACTAAACAACTCATCATTCCTATTTGACTTCCATCTGTCTGAAGGCCAGGCCTGGGGCTTCTGGAAGGGAGGGCTCTGCCCCACCTTCCCTCCCCCTCCGCCCCAGCCCATTCTCCACTTATCCCGCTGAGTTGCATCATCTTGGTTCTGAGGAAAGTGCAAGTCTTCTGTGAGGGAACCTCCCCACCCCACCTGAGGCTGGGTTGGGAATGCTTGAGGTGTTGATGTGTGTTCTAAATCCTTGAGGACAAGAAGGAAAGGCAAGGTCCTGGCTCACCCACGTGTGGGGCATGGGCGCCTGGTCCACTTGGAGGGACACAACTATCCCAGGCCCACAGGAGGAGGTGCGTGTGTAGACCGGGGAGGACGGACAACTGAAAACCACAGCAGAACCAAGTCAAAACCAACCCCTGTGGTTCACTTTCACCAAGAGGATTGATTCTGACCAAGAGAGGAAGGAGAAAAATCTTTAAAATCTGTGAGTCAGAAAGGGAGAAACTCAGCCTCATATTCAGATGGGTAATCAGCTCTCCAAACTGGAACAGTTCTCACTGTACACAGTGTTCACAGAAAAAAAGAACAGAGGCATTTTAATTTAAGAAGAAAACAGACACCTGCTGTCCTGCATTTATTGCCACATCCACTGGCGCACATTCCTGCTTCTTCACTCACTCTCGGGGATTAATGGGAGCTTGATGGATCTGAAAGGTGTGGGGGAATTGGAACAGGCAAAGTACCTCTCAGGTAAGGAGAGCACCATTTAAAAAATAAACCAGAAAGCACGATTTGTTTTTTCCTAAGGTTTCCTGTTTGTAGCTCTGTAATGTGTATATGTGTGTATATATATGTGTGTGTGTGTGTGTGTGAATATGTGTATGTATCTCTCTGAGCAGAAGAGCAGGAGGGAAACCCTTCCATCCGCCCCCCTACCTCCCCCTTCCATGGCCTTGGAGGGCCCTGGCCTGCCTCAGGTGGGGAAGCAAGGGCTGAGGTTACCCTACTGAATACTGACTGCCCTACCCTTCAGTTGCCAGCAGCAAAGGGAGTGTGATTCCCACTTGCAAGGGCTAGCCTGGACCTATTGTCATTTTGCTTCCAGGCAGGCAAGGCTAGCTTCCCCATGGTCTTCAGGGAAGGCTCTGAGAAAGGATGGAGTCTTAGCCTCCCTCCAGCACCACCAGTGTTAGGGTAGAAGCAGAAGGAAGGATGGGAGCCCTGGAGTGAGCAAGGCGGGGCCCCTGCCTGGGAAGGAGAGCAACCTGGCCCTCCTCCCAGGCACTGGCTCTGGGCCCTGCGTGTGCTCTCACTGGCCACCTACCTCCAGGGCCTTGGCCTCCCCAGCGGCCCCCTGCCATACCTCACTAGGTCCCCACTTAGCATTCCCTCTGCTACTTAGACTACAAGTCAGGTGGTTCTGAGCATGACATGTTCCACAAAGAGCATGTATGACTTTTTGCTGTTGTCTTTACTACAGAGGATGCCTGAAGTACAGGTTCGTGCTGCCATTTTGGCTCTCGAGCTAATGAGCCTCTTGGAGTTCTCATTTGGGGATTTCACTCTGGACAGTTCAGAGGACCTGGGGACTCCCCGCCATGGCACCCAGTTCAATAGCTTTAAACAGTTATTCATTATTCACCCAGGTACTCAATGAGCAGCTCTCAGTACCTAATATCGTTATAGGCTTTGAAGAGGATCAAAGGATGTAAGGCATCCCCTGATCTCTAGGAACTTAGACCATTCTTGGACAGACTATGTGCCCAGGTGTAGAACAGCCCCAATTCAGGCACTAACAAGTGGGCCAGCACCAGGAGAGTTCAGGGAGGGGATGAGCAGGGGCTGAGGCATATGGGCAGAGCTTCCTGCACGGTGGGATCTGAGAACCTTAAAATCGTGGGCAAGATTCCAACGGGAAAATATCCTAAGCCTAAAAGACAGGAGGGGTTCAGGAGGCTTGCCTAAGGTTGTGTGACCCCAGAGGCCTGCCGCCACAGCTGGCATCACTCGTGTAACTACAGGACGGCCTGCTGACACGGAAGCTTGAAGAGCCGGAGCACGTGCACAGAGGGCATGGGAAGTCCCAGGAAGGTGCTGGGGGGCCTTGCATCCCACGGCATTCCCACACTCACACGAGGCAAACATCTCAGAAGCTGGGGAGGTAGAAGGCTGGCAGGCTGCCCTTGGACTCTGAGGCTCTCCAACCCCACCTTCTGTCCAGAGAGTTGTATAGTTCCCATTCCAGAACTCACCTGCTGGGTGATTCTGTGACTGATTTGGCATTCAATCCCTTCAAACGGGGACCAGCAGGGAGTTCTGGTCAACACCAACTGAGCACTAATGGGCATGGTTCTTAGGATATTTTGTTTTGTTACCCTTCTTCCCAAATCTTATCCAAGGCGGGGAAGATGAGAGGAGAGCTCCTGGGGCCTATTAAGAGCACATCTGCCTTCAAGGATTTGCGGCCGTCGTCACACACTACCTGCCGGTCCCCCTGTCCACTCTGTTTGGTCCAAACAAGGAGCACACTCTCAGAGCTGGACAAGATCTTGGTGCGTCCTGATGTTAGAAAAGAGACGGACAGTTGTCAAGAGAAAGGAAACAGATGCCCACAGCGTGATGGCTTCTGCGGTGACAGGATGTCTGTTTGCCCCAGGGGTGGCAAGAGCGGGCATGTCAGTCAAAAGACATCCCGGTCACCTTCTACCCTGCCTCCCTGCTTTAGGACCCTCTCTCCACCCCAAGTCAGCTACCCAAGCCATCCTCCTAAGTACAGATCTCCCTGCCACATATCAAAACAGTTCAGGACATTCAGAAAGCTCATAGCAGATGGACCCTTGCCTATTACAGAGGGATGGAAATGTTGGGTAAAGTATCACCAAAAAATTGCATTTTAATACATGCTGTCCTTAAAAGAAGGGACATCCTCAAGTGACAGAAATGAAGAGCAAAACCAGTCAAAGCAGGTAAGTGTAAGCTGGGAGCCTGGAGCCCACGGAGATACTAGAGAAGCCAAGGTTAGGCTCTAGGGACTGGGCTAAGGTTATAACACCTGTATGGGAACAGGAGGTATGGCCTTAGGCTTGCTTGGAAGAGAGAAAATTTTGATTTGAGCTCAACAGAAAAGCAAGAGCATCAAAGAGATGCCCCTTCCTTAAAAAGGGGATTGGGAAATGGTATTCACTAGCTCAGGAAAGTATGAAGAAGTAAATGGTCTCTTTGGAACATGGGTGCAAAAAAAAAAAGTCACCTGTCAGAAATTGAATCCCTAGGGCCTGTGCCATGCATGGGCACAGAACCCAAATCGATGCCACCTGTGAGGCCATGAGCCCCAAGCAGAAAAACTAACATAATGTTTGATCTAAAACAGTTGAAACCTCCAGGAGCCTAGTCAACACTAATGTGAAACCACTCTGTGTAGAAACATTGTCACAACGCAGGGCACATGGGGGTCACACAGGAAAAACAAATCCTACCAAAGATGAGCTCATGATAAAAACTGACACATCAGGGGGGAAAGGAGCCTGTGTGTGTGGGAACCAGCTGATGCATCCAGCAGGGTACTCGGTATTTTGGGGACTGCAGGTAATAGAACGAGCTGAAAGAAGCTATCAACACATCCATACCCAGCACTTCAAGACCAGAACCCACCAGTTCTGGCCCCATCCCAACTTGTTCCTCCTGTGTCCACCTTCTCAGGTCATTCCAATCGCTCCTGTCACATACACTCAAAATCTTAACGCCATCTTCAACTTGTTCTTCTCTCAGCTTTTTCCCTCAAAAATGGCTTTCAGTTTCTCCTCTTTCTTCCTGCTCTCTCCTCTGTTACTGCAAAGGGCGGCTAGCTGGTCTCCCTGCCTGCCCGACTCCAGTGTCCCCCTTCTTTTTATTCCACCCTACACAGCCACTAAATTATCCTCCTAAATGTTAAGTCCACTGATTTCACTTCCCTGAGCCAAATCCAGATAGCAAAAGTCCAAATTTTCCCCAGCTTGGACTTAAAGTTCTTCCCAGTTTTGTTTCCTATTATAATACAGCCCCCTCATCCACCCCTCACCCCACGCCAGCTTACTTGTCCTTCCTTCACTCCCCCTCATACTTCCAAGCAGTCTCCTTCTGCTATATGTCACTTAATAGTTCTGTGCCTCAAGCAAGTCAGAACCTCCCCCAGCCTCAGTTTCTAATTATGCAACATGAGAATGATACCTACTTTGCAGAATTGAGAGAATCTGAGATAACTATGGAAAGCACCCAGCACAGAACTTGACCCCAGTAAGTGCTCAACAAACAGCTGCTGAATTGAGCCTCTATCTGCTTTTTTTATGGGAGTTTTGTCCTACTGCTTCCCCAAGCAGAGCTCCATGAGGCCTGAGGCCTTGTCCAATCTGTCTTTGCATCTTTGTACTTTCCTGTGCCTGACACAGGAAAACCTATCTACTGACAAGTAGTGGAAAGAACGGAGCATGCCTAACCTGATGTTAGAAGGAAGAATTTGGGTAGAGGGACCTAGTGGATCTCAGATGTTGGAAGAGTGTTGAGGACCCATTTATACCGTGTCACTCCAGAGAGGGGAGAACCACCATCCATAAGGAGGAAGATTTTAGTCCAGAGTAGGAATAGCTAACATGTAGAGCTGTTTAACATGAGAGCAGGTGTCAAGTACGAGCTGCTTGCCATTAAAAAGCTCAGATTATAAAAAGTATTCCTCCGTTGGATGATCGGTAAGACCAGATCAGTGATTCTTAACTTCTGGGAGTTACAAAAGCCTTTGAAAGTCTGATAAAAGTTATGGATCTTCTTCCCCCGCCCCCCCAAAAAAGGCTCAAAGCATAACGTTTTGCAAATAATTCTGCAAATAATTTCAGGAGCTTCATGGTTCCTAGGTAAAGATCACCTGAAAACCCTTGTAGGATGCTATGTTCAATTTTCTTTTTTACTGTTAATAATGAGAAAGAAGCATTTTTGTTACATGTATCTTCAAAATCCACACCTCCCATCTCAAGGGCCTGGCTCATAACTAAAAACTCAGTGCTGTTTGCCCAAATTCAATGCTCTACATATTTGTTGATTAAATGAATGAATAAATGAATGAAATATTTGATTAATCTGATCTTTAAGGAAAGATATGTGCTGTATGGAGAAAAGAGAAAGAAAAAAAGATAAAAATGAAGCATTTTAGAGAAAGACCAATACAAGATGGTAAAAGGTGGAGAAGAGTTCATCAGGGTCAGAGAAAAGGATAAATTTTGGAAGGCTTTAACTCCCAGCCTCTTGCCCAGGGCCAAATGCCCGAGCGAACTTCTAAACCCAAGGTTCCGTGGGGCCAGAGTCACCTACTCCTATCTGCTAGCCCTGGCAGCTTGCACTCACAGTGATCGTGGCACATACCCAGGGGCACCAGGGAAAAATCACTCCTAAGATCGTAACCATGTCCAGATGATATTCTAATCTGATTTTGAAATCTCTTTCCCTCTGTAAATTTAGGTCTTAATTGTAATGCAACCATTCATTGTTCTATTATTACAATTGCTCAGTTCACCCTTGGTAATGAGTTATTAAAGGAAGTATGTTGAGGCATTTTTTTTCCCCTTAGAGTATTATTATTCAAAGAATAGTTGGTTTTCAGCATAAACCCTCGTGACAATAAGCCCCAAGAAGAAAATATCCTGTCCAAGCACAGAAGGACGTCTTATTTGACAAACTGAGCTTCAGATTCTCAAGGACTAGCTGCTTCTTTCAGTTCGTATGGGCAAAGGCACGCTGCTCTGCCTGGATCCAGTCTTCTTGCTCTCCCCACTCCCCCCGCTGCACCTGCGCTCACCTGGAGACACAGTGGCAGCGGGATTTCAGGAGCCTTCTCAAGCTCTGCAGGGCCTCGGGCAGCCCAGCACCGGTGAGGGCACTGCAGGCCCGGAGATCCCAGCTGCGGTCCTGGAATCTCTCCAGGCCCAGCCTGTCTCTGATCCCGAGCAGCGGCAGAGCATCGGGCGCCTCCTGCTTGTTGGCCAGCACCAAGAAAGGGACGTGGGCCATGTGTGGATCATTAAGGACTTCCACGAGCTCAGCCACCGCCTCGGGCAAGCGAGCTTCATCTGTGCTATCCAGCACATACACGAGGACATCCGTGCCTTCCAGGTAGTCCTTCCAGTTGGCCCTCAGCTGGGTCTGCCCCCCCACATCCCAGATGGTCAGACACACATGCCCAGGGACTCTGAGAGGCTCCACGTTGAAACCAACAGTGGGCAGGGTCTCCACCAGCTGGTAGCCCTTCAGTTTGTACAGGAGTGTGGTCTTCCCAGCTGAGTCGAGGCCAATCATCACCACCTGGGCTTCTGCCTTGTGACCTCGGGAATTCACAGAACCCATGGTGGCTCCTGCTAACCCCTAGGGGAGAAAGGCCAGGTGCACACATCAGCCATTCTTTTCGGGAGGAACACAAATCCACGCAGGCACATCGAAGAAGAGCCTCTCCTCCAAAAGCAGGAAGTGTCTTTACCATGTCAGGTTTCAAACACAGGCCTGCGCTGTGAAAGGGCCAGGAAGTAGGGCAAATGAGTCACCCCGAGCTGATCTATCTGGGGGGGGGAAGGGGGCTGCATCAGAGAAGAGGGTAGGGCTTCCTGGAAGACACCCAACGCGGGCTCACCTTCCTTGGTAGTTAAAGCAAAGAGGCAAAAGGAAGTTCCAGTTAGATATAACCCAGTTCAGTAGGAATGACCGAAAGATGTCTTCAGTTCTGGCTAGTCTGTGGCTTCCCGCCTCTATTTTCCTCCTATAAGCCTAAATCCCGAAGTGGAAGCTAGCTCCAGTTCAGTGCACCAAGTGAAGAGGACAGTGGGCTGCCTCTGGAGCTCCCCTCAGGACCAGCACTGCGTCCTGCAAACAGTGGTATTTCAAATACGGTTGCCTGGGGACACATTTACCAGTCACAGCCAAGTGGTTTCCTCCATTGCCTTATCAAGGTAAACTGCCTATAGAGCACGACTCACTTTTTTTTTTCATTTAGAAATGCCCAATTTCTAAAACCAAGCCCTGTTCCCGACCTAGGGGACACGTAGCTGGGACATCTCTCCCCCGGGGTGGAGGAAGGGGCGGGGGGGGGGGGGGGGAATATTGCGGTTGCCCCTGGAAGAAAATAAGACAGGCGGCGTTCATTCCTCCGCGGGCGGGGAAGAGGGCAAGTAAAGTTACCTCGGTGTTACTAGGCTGCGGCCGAAAGCTCCTCCTCTGTGGCAGTGCGCTCGCCCGCAGCTGCTTTCCGCGCGGCGGTAGCGTCCCAAGAGCGAGAAGCGAAGGAACTGCAGGGGCTGCTGCCGGTTCCCCTTTTCCGCTTCCTTCCCCAGGTGGTCGGGGCGGGGCGGGCTCCACAGCCCCTCCCTCGGCCACGCGCGGCCGGAGCTGGGCTCCCGCCCCGGACGGCCGCGCAGATGTCCCGCGCAGATGTCCCCAGCCCGGCGAAGCCTCGCACCAACCCCGTTTCTTAGCAACTCAGAACACATGCCTTGATGGTTTTTTGGTTTTTGGTTATTTTTTCTTCTGGAGCCTGGAGATTCTTTTGTTTGCTTGGACCCTACAGACTTTTAAAAACTGCCGAAGTATGATTAAAACCCTCTAAAAAATAGTAACTATGTTGAAGGTAAACGGTAAAAATTTAATAGTTGTGTCACTGTGGTGGAACTGCGCAGTTAAACTTACTGCTTAATTTTTTTTTCGGCCATGTCATCATGTTTTTCCCAGCAAACAATGATACCTCCAGAAAACATAATTTTTTAAAAATTATGGCCAATCAGAAGCCGTTGACTCTGCAGCTCTCTAATTGGCATCTGCAGCTGCAATGATTTGGCTCTTGGAACCAGTCACATTTGTGGGGTGCTTTTTGCTTTCCCATGCATTATTTCATCAAAACGCCAAGAACCGGGCGCCTGGGTGGCTCAGTCGGTTAAGCGTCTGCCTTCGGCTCAGAGAATGATCCCGGGGTCCTGGGATTGAGCCCCGCGTTGGGCTCCTTGCTCTGTGGGAAGCCTGCTTCTCCCTCTCCCACTCCCCCTGCTTGTGTTCCTTCTCTCGCTGTGTCTCTCTCTGTCAAATAAATAAAATCTTTAAAAAAAATAAAAAAATAAAACGCCAAGAACCGAGATGGGGGTTATGACTCTCCCGTTTTACAAATAAAAAAAGAAACCACTTTTAAAGATTTTATTCATTTCCTTGAGAAGAAAGAGAGCTAGCACAAGCAGGGGGAGCAGCAGAGGGAGAGGGAGAAGCAGGCTCCCTGCTGAGCAAGGAGACTGCCACAGGGGCTCCATCCCAGGACCCTGAGATCATGACCTGAGCCACAGCCTCTTTTTTTATTTGTAAATAATTTGCTCAAGTAAATAATTTGCTCAAGATCTTGCTGGAATTTATTCATCTCTTCCTCTTTTAGCATGTCTGCTACTCACCTAGAAAGTGCTTTATAGAGAGCAAACATCCTGTTGTAATTGTCGTTGCTTTTCTTAGGCCAGGATATTTTAACAGGAGGGAGTGGTTAGGAAAACACAGAGTGTGTTATGTACACACACCACTGTGTTGTGTTGTTACTGTTGCTTAGTACTTCGGGGTCGTTTTGCAGCCAGCCTGGGCAAGTGGGACTTATAGCCAAGGATCGGCAGGGTGGGGGTCAGCAGATAGAAAAGTACTGAGAGAGAACATCAGGGGTCAGGGGAGATTCTGGCTAAACTGACCTCTAACAGGATTCTTGCTGAAGGCGGGCCAGGTGACCAGATGTCACCTGGGGGAAGGTAGGGGCTGAGGAATTCGATCAGATATTGAGGTGATTAGATATTAAGGGCAGGGCATTCTGGTTAACACATAGCAGGGTTCTTGCTAAAACAGGATTTTATGAGGAAGTGCACAGATGAGCCTAGAAGAAGGTTCAGGAGCCTGACTAAAGTTTAGCCGAGCAAAGAATCTTTGTCATTACCCCAGAGCAGTCTCCAAGCATTAAAGAACTGTCTGGAGGAGGGCTTGTCTGTCTAATCTGTGGGGCAGGACAATCAGATCAAGCTGAGACTCAGTCCTGTCCAGCTGATGAATCCATGGGGATCCTGCCAGGATTTGATTTGCAGGAGGATTGGGATGGACAGAGGATAAGGACACAGAGGCCAAGGATAATGTGTGTCTGGGGCCTGGGAGCCAAGGGGGCAGTGTTGCTATCTGAGCCTGGTTCCTTCTGTGTGAGCCCTGGGGACGGGGGAGAGGTGGACAGGAGCTGAAGAAACCACTGACTTGAGAAGAAAGGTTGGAGTAGGTACTGTAAAGTTTAGTTCAGCTCGAATATCTTATAGGACAATATCTTATAGGACAATTTTTATTGACCAGCTGTAAGCATGGCTTTGTACAGTCTATCACATGACTTTTAATTTTTTTTTAAAGATTTTATTCATTTCCTTGAGAAGAAAGAGAGCGAGCACAAGCAGGGGGAGCAGCAGAGGGAGAGGGAGAAGCAGTCTCCCTGCTGAGCAAGGAGCCTGCTGCAGGGGATCCATCCCAGGACCCTGAGATCATGACCGGAGCCACAGGCAGACGCTTAACTCTGCCCAGGCTCCCCGATCACATGATTTTTTTAAGGAACTCTTCAAAATGCATCTGCATGCCATATGAATGGCAGCAGTCAGCATCATTCTTGTATGTGAAGACTAGGACATTGTGTATCAGAATTAATACAGAATATATAGCAGACTCTTAAACTGTCTTTATTTTGCATTATAAATTGTATTTAGAATTATTACCACTTTGAGTGTCTTGTGTTTTACATTTACAGCACAGGTCATTTTCCGGAACTTTTCTATTTCTAGTTTCCATTTTATTGGTAACACCATCTCCTTTTTTGTTTTGTTTTGTTTTTTTTGTTTTGTTTTGTTTTATCACCACCTCCTTATAACCAAATGAGGAACCTGGAAAAGTCGGGGGGTGGGGGGGAGGCGGATTTCCTTGCCTGCCTCTCTTTGCTCTGTCTCCTCCAAACAGAAATAGTATTTCTTTCTTTCTCTCTCAAAAACAAAACAGAACAAACCAAAATACACAAGAGGAAAAGGAACTAGCAGTGGGTGATGTGCTTTCTGAAACAGCGAGCCGAAAAAGAGCTGAAGGATGTTAGCCCTGCACCGAAGCTTTGACTACTGACTAACGCTCTTAACAGCATTTGCAGGAGGTTTCCGGACGCTAAGGGGGAAAAGCCAACAATGGCCAGAGACTGTCTCCTGAAAATGTGCGGGGACGATGATGCGGAGGCAAGGGTGAGGAGCTCCCCCTGTGCCTCCACAGGAGCCAGGGACGCAAGCTGCTGCTGTTTATCCTCCAAGGTTGTTTCAATATGCAAAGTAGGGCCTTGGCAGCCGCTGCTATTCAGTCAGCCAGGGCTCCTGAACTGGGTAGTGTATTTTTAGTTGGCAGTGGAAAAAAAAAAAAAAAAAACTTGATTAGGAAGGAAGTTGGAAGGTCACTCATAGCTAGAAACTCAAATCTGCACTTGAGACTTCTTTACGTTTCCCAGATGAGTTCCTGTCACTCTGGGCAGCAACGAGCAAAGTGCTTCATTCAGTGCCTCGATTCTCTTCTTTTTATAAACAAAATTACATAAGTAATGATGAATATATTGTCTCTCATTTGAGTGTGAAACAATGTAAATGCCTACAGGGCAAAATTCTTAGGTTCACTCTTTTTTTTTTTTTTTTGAGAGGGAAGGAGAGAGAGAGAGGATGGGCAGAGAGAGAATCCCAAGCAGGCTCCATGCCCAAAGTAGAGCCCACAGTGGGGCTCGATCTCACAACCCTGAGATCATGACCTGAGCCTGAATCAAGAGTCAGATGCTTCACTGACTGAGCCACCCCTTAAGTTCACTCTTTTTTTAAAAAAAAAAAATTTTATTTATTTATTTTAGAGAGGAAGAGTGAGAGTGAGCGGGGGAAGGGCAGAGGGAGAGGGAGAGAGAGACTCTCAAGCAGACTCTGAGCGGAGCATAGAGCCCAAGACAGGGCTCAGTCTCATCACCGTGGCCTTATGACCTGAGCCAAAATCAGGAGTCAGATGCTTAATCGACTGAGCCACCCAGGTGCCCTGGGTTCACCCTTTAAATCACTACTCCCCTCCTCTGAGGTTATCAGGATTAGTAGTTTGATGCACATTTGTGCAGTGATCTTTCTTTCTTTCTTTTTTTTTTTTTTTTTAAAGATTTTATTTATTTTTTGACAGAGAGAAACAGCGAGAGAGGGAACACAAGCAGGGGGAGTGGGAGAGGGAGAAGCAGGCTTCCCGCCGAGCAGGGAGCCTGATGTGGGGCTCGATCCCAGGACCCTGGGACCATGACCTGAGCCGAAGGCAGACGCGTAACGACTGAGCCACCCAGGCGCCCCTCACTATGCTTTTTATCTGCATTTCCCTAATGATTAATGATGCTCAGCTTCTTTTTATGTGCTTGTTAACTATTTTAAGTCTTGTTTGGAGAAATGTCTATACACAGACTTTGTCCATGTTTTAATTGAGTTGTCTTTTTTATTGAGTTATAAGAGTTTTTATTTTTTTATTTTTATTATTTTTTTTTTTTTAAAGATTTTATTTATTTGACAGAGAGACACACAGCGAGAGAGGGAACACAAGCAGGGGGAGTGGGAGAGGGAGAAGCAGGCTTCCCGCTGAGCAGGGAGCCCGATGCGGGGCTCGATCCCGGGACTCCAGGATCATGACCTGAGCCGAAGGCAGTCGCTTAACCAACTGAGCCACCCAGGCGCCCGTCCCTCCACATCTCTTTTTTTTTTTTTTTAAGATTTTATTTATTTATCTGATAGAGAGAGAGATAGCGAGAGCAGGAACACAAGCAGGGGGAGTGGGAGAGGGAGAAGCAGGCTTCCTGCCGAGCAAGGAGCCCGATGCGGGGCTCGATCCCAGGACCCTGGGACCATGACCTGAGCCGAAGGCAGACGCTTAACGACTGAGCCACCCAGGCGCCCAAGTTGTGTTTTATTTAAAGATTTATTTATTTATTTGAGAGAATGAGAGACAGAGCATGAGAGGGGAGAGGGTCAGAGGGAGAAGCAGGCTCCCCGCCGAGCCAGGAGCCCGATGTGGGACTCGATCCCAGGACTCCGGGATCATGACCTGAGCCGAAGGCAGTCGCTTAACCAACTGAGCCACCCAGGCGCCCCTGTGCAGCGATCTTTCTATAGATACTTATATGTTTTGAAGCACACACATCTACTTTACTGCTTGTTTTTTGTTTGCGTCTTTTAAACGTAATTGTGATGTCTGTAGCTTATCACATTGAACGTTTATGAGATCTTTCCACATTAGTATATATACTAGATGCACTTACCGTTTTGTTTTGTTTTAAGATTTTATTAAATAATGAGAAGGCCACAAGAAAACATAAGAAGCATAATGCTAAAATATTCACAGATGAAATTACATGATTCTGAGGTTTGCTTATAAATAATCTAGCAATGGAGAAGTAGTAGCTTGGGATATAATATAACAAGACTGGCCCTGAATTGCTAGTTGTCAAAGCCAGGTAGACAGGGGTGTATTATATTAGTCTCTCCATTTTGCATACCTTTGAAATCTTCTGTAGTAAAATATGAAAAGCATATATAAGAGCCATATTCCAGTTTACCAAATGTCTGGTTCCGCTACAGCTCACAGGCCTCTGGGCCTCCTACGACTTGTCACACTCCACATTTTCTCTGTAAGAACTCAAAAGTTGCCTTCTCCGGAATCTGCCATGACCCTAGCCGGTGTGGTTTGTCCCTGCTTTACCCTTACCACACTTCGTATATATACAAACACACGCTACAACAGTCACACTCACACACATACTCCCATACGAAGGGAATTATCTTATTAAGTTGAGATTTTAAAGACATAGCAGTCATCGATTGAGCCCCTAATCTCTATCATACACCATGTCTACGTTTGTTTCGTTACTCCTCTCAACAGCATTGGGAGGTAAGACTTTTTTGGTCCCCTTTTATAGATATAGAAACTGAGGCTACAAAAGATTAAGTAATTTGCCCCAGCCTAGTTTTTTTTTTCTTTTTTATTCTCAATTTTCTATCACTTTGTCAACTATTTTTTAGATAAATACATGTAAAAAGTGATCAATACAAACACTGAGAAGCAAGCACAAATCTTACTGAGAAGGAACATTGCCATTATTAGATGAAGATAAACTGCAGAGCGTCTCTGGGTCATCGTCTGAATTTGGCTTCCTTGGGAGTTTTACAAGAGTCCGTCCTGGGGCAGTCAGTGTGCAAGGCCATGAAAGCGTCTTAGGAAGCATAGGGCTTCCCATAGTTGGGGCAGCGGGCAGGCCTTTCCAGCGGGCCCAGTACTGGGTATCCAGTGGGAACATGGTCAGTAGGAATGGACCGCTCTGTATATTCTACGTCAAAGCCCACTTTCAGGGGCACCTGGGTGGCTCAGTCAGTTAAGCGTCTGCTTTCAGCTCAGGTCATGATCCCAGGGGTCTGGGATCAAGTCCTGCATCGGGCTCCCTGCTCAGTGGAGAGCCTGCTTCTCCATCTGCCTGCTGCTTCCCCTGCTTGTGCTCTCTCTCTGACAAATAAATAAATAACATCTTTAAAAAAAAAAACAAAAACAAAGCCCACTTTCAGCTCTCAGGAATGAGCAAATCTGAATACTTCTTGGGGTGAGGGGAGTATGGTCAGGTGGTCCTGTCTGTAGGGCATGGAGAGGAGAGGATAAAACTCATTACCACATGATCAAGGCCTGCCAAATACAGATAAGAATTCGAGCCAGGCTTGCCTGAGAATTTTTTCTTCCAGGTAAAGAGAATATAATGACTGCAGATAGTTTGGTGATAACAGTCTCTATTGTGTCTATGTCTTAAGTCATACTACTTCAACTTGAACTAGTTGTTCTCTATATCATATGCACATCTTCTTTGAGATTCCCTTAACATCTGTCCCATGTTGGATCTTCTGCTTTTATGTCCCAGATTTTCCCCTTTCTTGGTTTGCTTGGTTGTTTTGGTGGAACACAACTTCAGTAGCCTCTCAGATGTGTGGGAGGTAAGTTTTTAGACCTTGAATCTCTGAAAATGTCTTTTTTTTTTAACTCTAACGATTTATTAATAGTTGTCTGGATATGAGATTCTAGGATGGAAATCACTTCCCTGCGGGACTTAGAAGGCATTGCTTCATTGTGTTGTGGCTTCCACTGCTGCTGTTGAGACTCTAAAACCAGATTGGCTCTTGATCCATCGTTTATGACTTGTATTCTCTCTGGAAGCTTATAAACTCTTCACTCTTCACTGTGTTCCAAGAATTCTGAAATTTCAACTAAATTGTCATGTTGTGAAAGTTTGTGTGCTTTTAATTTTTTCCCCTTTCTTACTTTTTTATTCTTTCCTTTTATTATAATTTTTAATTTTGTTTTGTTTTGTTTTGTATGAAAGAGATGTTAAAAAGGTTTTTAAACCAAAAGGTTTTAAAACCTTTTTACTTGGTATGAGCCTATTTTCATCCATTATGCTAGAAACTTAGCGGGCCCTTTCCTCTGCCTCTTACTGCTAGAAGTAAGTTACTTTCAATTTTGGGACATCTTGAAATTTCCCCTCCAATTTTTATGTTCCTTCTTTTTGGAATTCCTATTATTTGGTTGCTGAACTTTGACTTATTATTTAATTTAAAAAAATTAGTTTCTGGGGTGCCTGGGTGGCTCAGTCAGTTAAGTGTCCGACTCTTCATTTTGGCTCAGGCCATGATCTCAGGGTTGTGAGCTTGAGCCCTGCATTGGGCTCCACGCTTAGTAGGGAGTCTGCTTGAGATTCTCTCTCTCTCCCTCTGCCTCTGCCCCTCCCCACCAATCTTTCTCTCTTTTTTTTCTTTTTAAGATTTTATATTATTATTCATTTGACAGAGAGAGAGAGAGCTGGAGAGCACAAGCAGGGGAAGAAGCAGAGGGAGAGAGAGAAGCAGGTTCTCCACTGAGCAGGGAGCCCACTGTGGAGCTCCATCCTAGAACCTTGGGATCATGATCCGAGCTGAAGACAGATGCCCAGCTGACTGAGCCACCCAGGCGCCCCTCTCTCCCTCTAAATAAGTAAGTAAGTAAGTAAATAAATAAATAAATAAATAAATAAATAAATAAAATCTTTAGAAATATATATATATATTTCTTTCCCTTCTCACACCTTTACCTTTTCACTCTACTTTCTGGGAGATTTCTTCAACATTATCTTTCAGTCCTTCCATTTTGTTCATTGCATCTATTATATCTCTGCCCCACCGCCAACAGCTCTTTTTTTGTTCTCTGAATCTCTCTGAGTTTCCATGGAACCAGGGAGAATGGCTATAGGAGACACCGAAGTAGAGGACATGTGGTAACAACCAGAGGGTTCATGTTCTATTTTCTGAGTTACTGAAGTCTGCCTCCTTCAAGGTAACATAGAGTCTGTTTCCCAGCATGGAGCCTGCCAGCCTGCTTCTACCTAGATTCTATTTGCCATCTTGGGACAGAATGCTATTAGATCATTGTGTGCCATGAGTACACTGGGAAGAGATGAAGGAGCACAGAACATTCACCAACATAGATCACAGGGTGGGCTACAAGTCTCAATAATTACAAAAGAATTGAAATCACACAGTATATTCTTTTGTGTGACCAAAGTGGAATTAAGGTAGGAATAAATACTGGAAAGATACCTGGAAAACCCCCCAATTTTTGGAAATTGAATAACCTACTTCTAAATAGCCCAAAAGTCAAAGAAGAAATTGCAATGGAAATTAGAAATTATTTTGAGCTGAATAAAAGTGAAAATACAACATACCAAAATTTGTGAGTTACAGCAAAACCACTGGGAAATTTATACACTTAAATGCTTATATTACAAAAGAAGAAAGATGTAAAATCAATTACCTGAGAGAAAAAAAGAAAAGCAAACTAAATGCAAAATGAGAAATAAAATAATCAAACTAAGAATAAAATCAATAGAAAAAATGAAGGAAATGGATACAGACAAAAGATTCTTTGAAAAGATTAATAAAATCAATTAACTGCTAATAAGGCTGATTAAGAAGAAAAGAAAATCATGAAGAATAAAAAAGGGACATCACTATCAATTTTAGACCAAAAAAAAAAAAAAAACTGACAAGGAAGATATTATGGGCAGTCTTATGCCAAGAAAACCAATAGCTTGGATGAATTGAATACTATTTGTTGAATAAGCTATCTTTTTTCTTGGCTAACTTGAAATATCACCTTTATTGGGGCGCCTGGGTGGCTCAGTCAGTTAAGCATCTGACTCTTGATTTTGGCTCTGGTCATGATCTTGGGGTTGTGAGATTGAGCCCCGTGTCAGGCTCTGCACTGAGGATTCTCTCCCTCTCTCTCTGCCTGTCCCCCCTCCCTCCCTCTAAAAAAAAAGAAAGAAAGAAAGAAAGAAATATCACCTTTATTGTACACGAATTCACATACTGACACATAGTTACGAGTTTGGATGCTTTTATATATCACATTGCGTTACTCTATTTGCTCTAAGAGCAAGTGTTGCAGTAAACCAGTGGGAAGTTGCATCAACTTTTCTATTTACTTACTTACTTACTTATTTATTTAATGGACAGAGAGAGAGAGACAGCAAAAAAGGGAACACAAGCAGGGGGAGTGGGAGAGGGAGAAGCAGGCTCCCCGCTGAGCAGGGAGCCCGATGCGGGGCTCGATCCCAGGACCCTGAGATCATGACCTGAGCCTAAGGCAGTCGCTTAACCAACTGAGCCACCCAGGCGTCCCTGCATCAACTTTTCTGACCCAGCCTCAAAGGGCCACTCCTGCTGCATTTTATTGGTTACAAGCAAATTTTAAGCCCACTTAGATTCCAAAGGAGGACACATAGACTCCATCTCTCAATGGGAGGGTGACGAAAGAATATGTGGCCATAAAAAAAAAAAAAAAAAAATCCACGCTGTCTTTAGTGGTAATGCTTCTAAAGTTGTCAATAAGTATAATATTTCTGTAGGTTTTGGATAAATATCCTTTATAAATTTGAGGACCTCTCTGATTAGATTATGGAGAAATAGAAACAGCAGTTGTCATTTGTTTTTCTCACAGACAAGCAGTATAATTCATGGAGAATAGGTTCTCTTTTCTTTTTTTTAAAGTATAATTGACATACAATGTTATATTAGTTTAAGGTGTATAACATAGTGATTTGAAACTTCTGTACACAACTCGTTGCTCACCATGAATAGTGTAGTCGCCATATAACATTATTACAATGTTACTGGTTATATTCTTCATGCTGTACTTTTCATCTCCATGACATACTTATTTTTAAAAGTTTGTACCTTTTAATCCTTTTTATCTACTTTACCCATCCCTGCACCTATCTCCCCTCTGGCAACTACCTCTAAGTTTGTTCTCTGAATTTAAGAATCTGCTTTTTCTTTGTTCATTTATTTTGTCTCTTAAATTCTACGTATAAGTAAAATCATATGGTATTTATCTTTCTCTGTCTTATGTATTTCACTTAGGGAAATATTCTCTAGATCCATCCATGTTGTCTTAAATGGTAAGATCTCATTTTCTTTTATGGCTGAGTAATGTTCGTGAAGAGTAGTTTTTAAGGGTAAACTTATATTGCCAGATTTGTGAAATCTGGCCACACAGATGAAATTTACTACACAATACCAAATACTATTTAGATTCTACACTTTGGATATTAAAGCTTTGGCATATTTTACAACATCAGTGAGACAATATTCTTTGTGAATTGTAATTTGACTGATAGTTTCTGGCAATACCTAGCACATACTGCAAAGAGATTCATAGAGAAAAGAGTGGTTTGTTTTTTAAAACGTGAACATTTTCTTATAGAAACTGTACATTTATTTTTCACACAAAGGAGTATGAATAGGGAATGTCAACAATGGTGAGCTAAATAACACATTTAATTTCAAGAAAGCTTCAAATCCCACTATAGAATCCTGCTGAGCTAGATTAAATTAGACTACATGGTGAACTCTTTAAGCAAAACTAAGGTGGGGGCACCTGGGTGGCTCAGTCGGTTAAGTGACTGCCTTCGGCTCAGGTCATGATCCCAGGTGTCCTGGGATCGAGTCCCGCATCTGGCTCCCTGCTCAGCACGGAGTCTGCTTCTCCCTCTCCCTCTGCCCCTCCAACTGCGTGTGCTGTTTCTCTGTCTCTAAACAAACCAACCAACCTGAGTGGCCTTGTTCCTAAGCCCACATTTATCACTTCATTGATAAGGGCCGATCTGGAACATTTAGGCCAAAGAGAAAAATGACAAGAACTAGAATATATGCCTCAATCTCTAAGCTGATTTAGGTCATCTGTGGGAGAAATTTCCAGCATCCCCTACACCAATTTTACCTGGCTGTAGTGATAAGAAGGAGACCGATGGCTGCTCTAGAGGGAAGGCAGAGAACTCCCCCAAAGAATAGATATTTACACAATATAGAATGATTATGTGTATACTTTTGGCCTCTAAAAAATAGAGCTGAAGTGGTGTTCTTCACCTTGGTATATACCCATGCTTGGGAAAGATGAGGAGGCTGGGGGAGGTGAAGAGGTGAGGAGAAATCTGAAGTGTAAAGGAGCTTGGATTTCCATTGGCACCTCCTTTTTCCCCTAGAGAGATACTGACATAGTCAAAGGAGTAAATGAATGTTCCCATCTCAATGAACTCATTAGATGGGAATGATACATTTATACACCAGTGTATGAGCTTATCCTCATGAACCTTCCATCCAAAAAAAGGAAGCAGAAAAAAGAAAGAAAAAATGGATTCTAAGAGCTTTTAATTTATTCTCAAACATTAAAAAAAACTTTTATTCCTTTTAATTGCTTTCCCTAGTTATATGTGAAATGGGTATTTCAGAGTTTGCAGTGGTAGGGAAAAAAAAAAAATAGGACTGAAGAAAAGGAGAGACATTTAAAAATTGCATCATTTGTAACCAAGTGTTAGAATAAGCAGAAATACCAGATTTTCATTTAGCTACCTGCTAGATCTATTGCCTTTTAAACAATTTTAGATGTTATTCCTGTTTTGCTAAATCCAGGGAAGGACCAGGAAATATCTGCCTGGCATGTTATAACATAGTAACCTTATGTAATGTTAAAACTCTAGGAAATGTTGAACCCTATATAAATTCTGACTCTCCATTTTCATATGGCTGTTTTATTCATATTTGAATAGCCCTTATGTTCCTATTGCACAATTGGGAAATCTGCCTTCTCATCTGGCTCACTGATTAACTTTTGAGTGGACTGAGATAAATCCTACTAATTGCTGAGTTTGTTCCCTTGTTTGTGAAGCACTGAAGTAATCCTCTGGCGAATGTACCTGGGCCACATCTTAAAAGTTGGTCACCCCGTAACAGGTTTGGAAATATTGCAATAATTTTAGAATTGGATGAAGGAATGCATCTTGAAATTTTTTTAAAAACCTATATAATTTAAATTTGGTGTGAATTTCTTATCAGGCAGCATCACATCTAGGTTGGTTAGTAAATAAACTAGAAGCAAAGTAAAAGGGAAGAAGACATTTAACAGACTCTAGGTTTGGGTCCATGCCACACGGTGGCAGGCTTACTCTGTTGTGCTCCCTCTTCAGGACCAAACAAACCAAAAATAGAAACGGGGGTGGGGACGGGGGGGAACAAACTTATAAGAAACACATATTAACGCTTGGATTTAACTACCTTAAGCCACATATTTTAGGAAGGTAATGTTTAGAAAAGATGACATAAGTTATTAGTTTGTCAAGATCGTATGTTCAGGGACGCCTGGGTGGCTCAGTCGGTTAAGTATCTGCCTTCAGCTCAGGTCATGATCCCAGGGTCCTGGGATGGAGTCCCCTATCTTCCACTGTGATCCTCCTCGCTCTTTCCGCTTCTGCAGGTTTCTCATGGAAGCCACTTGTTAAAGATGGCAGAACCACAACATGGAAGGAAACTTGGGTCCTCGAATCACGTCTTGGAGGAGAGCTTTGTGCCTGTGAGGAATCATCATTTTGGATGTTCCATGAGTGAGAAATAAACTTCTATTTTGTTAAGACACTGAGGTTCTGGGGCTTATCTATTATGACAGATAGCATTAACTAAAATCACATGTAGAGTCCTTAGTACGATACCTGACACAATACCCACTGAATAAATGTTAGATGTTAAAATCATGACTCTAAATATAAACCAGGAGGTGCCTGGGTGGCTCAGTCAGTTGAATGTCCCACTCTTGGTTTTGGCTCAGGTCATGATCTCAGGGTTGTAGAATCAAGACCCATGGAGTCTGCTTGTCCCTCTCCCTCTGCTCCTCTCTCTCTCTCTCTCATAAATAAATAAATAAAATATTTTTTAAGTAAATAAATATGGGGCACCTGGGTGGCTCAGTCAGTTCAGTGTCTGCCTTTGGCTCAGGTCATGATCTCAGGGTCCTGGGATCGAGCCCCGCATCGGGCTCCCTGCTCAGCAGGGATCTTGCTTCTCCCTCTCCCTCTGCTCCTCCCCCCTGCTCATGCTCTCTCTCTCAAATAAATAAATAAATAATATTAAATAAATACAAACCAAGAGCCTAAAACTCTGAACTTCAAACAGCAATATATGGAGATTCTTCTGCAGTATATGAGATCTGGTGTTTTTTTTTTTTAAGCTGGCGAAAGTCTAGCAAATGAAGTTGTGCGGGGAAGCAGTAAAAAGCTGAGCTATTCGTGTATGGAATTTGGAGAAAGTCATGATCAATATTTTGTATTTATATTTGCTACTTTTTTGGAAAAAATTAACAGAATGTAAACGAAAGAAAATCAAATAAAAAATTCATGTTGGTACCATCTTTAAAATAATATTTAAAATTTTTCTTTCTTGTGATGACATTAGTGTTATGATTCAATTATTTCTCTCAGTATTTCACACAATGCTTACCCTTTTTTCTTAAAAATGTCTTCTTTCTTGGCTCCAACGCTTTTTGATTTTTAGTGCTTTTATTTATTTTTTAATTTTTAAGATTTTATTTTTAGGTAATCGCCACACCCAACGTGGGGCTCAAACTCACAACCACAAGATCAAGGATCACACGCTCTACCAGCTAGCCTGCCAGGTGCACCTTTGGTGCTTTTATTAATGCCTATTCTCAGTTTTCTCACTTAAAACCCAGATCAAATTTCACATATTCAGTCAAAGCCTTCCAGGATATCCTGGTTGGAAGGGATCCCACTTGCACTCAACTGTCAAATTTTAAGAAAGATTTATTTATTTATTTGAGAGAGAGAGCAAGTACAAGCACAGGGTAGGGGAGGGGCAGAGGGAGAGAGAGAGAGAGAATCTTAAGCAGACTCCTTGCTGAGCATGGAGTTGGGCTCAATCTCAGGACCCTGAGATCATGATCTGAGCCAAAATCAAGAGTTGGATGCTTAAAAGACTGAGGCACTCAGGCACCCCTGAACTGTAATATTTATACAATCCAAGGCTCTTACCATTTGCTGTCTTCTGTGCTAGAGTTTATTTTCAGGTGGGTTTATATAGCTTGCTTCTTCCTAATCAGACTGCAAGCTATTTGGTGACAGGGACCATGCTTTTTTGATTTTCCATTGCCCACAGAAAATAGAGTCTGTGCAAACAATTATTGATAATCAACTCATTGGTTTGAAAGCTCCAGGTTTATGAGATTTCCTGTAACATTTTAATATCTATCTTTCAAAGAGTTTTATAAGAATAAAGAAGAATAGCTCTCATAAAGTTTTCTTCAGAGATAAATAATAATTTATACTGGGCGCCTGGGTGGCTCAGTTGGTTAAGCAACTGCCTTCGGCTCAGGTCATGATCCTGGAGTCCCGGGGTCGAGTCCCGCATCGGGCTCCCTGCTCAGCGAGGAGCCTGCTTCTCCCTCTGACCCTCCCCCCTCTCTTATTCTCGCTCTCTCAAATAAATAAATCTTAAAAAAATAAAAAAGTAAAAAATAAAAAATAATTTATAGTTGGGGGACAATAGTGGGAAAGGTGGTATTTCAATGGTCAGTGGTTTGGGTTAGAGGAAATTTGCAAAGAATAAATTAGTGCCTGATGTTCCATACTGAAATGAGGACAATTTTATATGTATTATTAGCTAAGCTTATTTTCATTTTTTTTTGGTCCTGCATCCTGTTTTTAAGAAAAAAAATTTTTTTGTTGGGGGGATGCTTGGGTGGCTCAGTCAGTTAAGCGTCTGCCTTCGGCTCGGGTCATGATCCCAGGGTCCTGGGATCGAGTCCTATATCGGGCTCCTTGCTTAGCAAGGAGCCTGCTTCTCCCTCAGCCTGCCACTTCCCTTGCTTGTGCTCTCTCTCTCTCTGACAAATAAATAAATAAAATATTTTTAAAAAAAATTTTTAAGTAGGCTCCACGGCCAGCATGGAGCCCAACATGGGGCTTGAACTCCTGACCCTGAGATCAAGACCTGAGCTGAGATCACCAGGCACCCTCCTATTTACTTTTTTTCTTTTTTTTTTTAAGATTTTATTTATTTATTTGACAGAGAGAGACACAGCGAGAGAGGGAACACAAGCAGGGGGAGTGGGAGAGGGAGAAGCAGGCTTCCAGCTGAGCAGGGAGCCCAATGTGGGGCTCGATCCCAGGACCCTGGGACCATGACCTGAGCAGAAGGCAGATGCTTAATGACTGAGCCACCCAGGTGCCCCCTAACTATTTACTTTTTAAATTTCTTTCTGTTTGCATATTTGCTTAAGATGTTTACCTTAAAAATATTAAAAGTTATAGCTGAAAATGTTTCATATTTTATATTCAACATCAGAAGGACTGTAGAATGTTTTAACTCTGACTTGCCTTTCACCTTCAATTTGATTGCTAGTTTCATCCTGTGTTTATCGTCTAAATTTGGTAATTTTCTATAATCAGTGTTTACTTAGATATACCAATGTTCTATTAATTTCTTTGCTCATCATTGATTCTTGCATTCTGATCTTTTCTTCCAGGTTTATTTTTCTACCTTCTGGGTCTGTGAGTGGGAAATTCTCTTAGTCATGGTTTGAAAATGTATTTATCCTCACCTTTGAATGCTAGTTTCACTGGATAGAGAATTCTAGATTAACAGATATTTTCCTCCACCCTTTTGAGGATATTGTTCCATTATCTTCTGGCATCTACACTTGTGACAAGAAGCCAGCTTTGTCTACATATGGGTCTTTGTAGGTACTATGACTTTCAGCCTCATCCCAAACATTCACAGAACCCAGGGCAAAATTACAAATGGAGGCCCGCATACAATACGTGTAAAAAATTTTAAGTTCCAAAACAAGCTAACAACTTGTTAAATAAAATATGTTCTATCCTCCTAAGTTGACAAATACAGCTTTTTAAGGACCTGGATGACCAAACCTTGAATTGAGAATTCTTGGAATCCTTGAGGGGATGGGGAGAGATCACCACCCCGGCCCCTGCCTCCCAGCTCACCCTCTTTGTTTCCCAATCCTGGCTCCATCCTGCACCGAAAGAAGCTTCACACACATGCCTGTGGACACGCCATTTCCAAGCCTACAAACAGCCTCTCCCTGGACACCCCGTGGCCCTAAGGGTGTGCAGTCTGTTCTTAGGGGTTGGACATAGGAAGAGGCCCACTAAGGTCCTGAAAGTGGGCTGGTGCTGTCTGGGCTGGGAATTCTAGGGTGTTGGGCACCTGGAACATGGTTTGGAGGAAAAGGGCAAACTTTGGGTCATGTTTCTTGATGTTGTAACAACCTCCTTAACTTCCATCCAACCTCTTCTCTGCAGTGTATCAGAGAGAATTTTAAAAAATGTAAACCATAGCATTTTACTCTCTCCTAAAAAATCCTTTAAAGGCCTCCTATTGCATTTGAAATAAAATCCTTTAAAAGCCTGCAAAGCTCTAAGTGGTACTTCAACATGCCAAGCTCTTTGGGAAGAGCCTTCATCCAAGAATCTCTCTTTCTGAAACATACTCTCCTACCTGCTCCTCACATGGCCAAATTCAGTCTATTTTATGGTTCCTGGTTTAAATGCCACCTCCTCTCCAAGTACAACTTCCATGTTATTTGCTATCACTGCATCTTGTTTATTTCCTTCAGAGTACAAATAACAAACGCATTCACCTATTTGTCTTCTCCTCCACACTGCCATTGTACAAGGGAGACTGTCACATACAAGTCGACTCTGAGATGGAGATTAGCATGTAGGAAGTTATTAGGGAGTACTCTATCAACCCCTGTTGAACAAAAGAAAGCAAGATGGAGCATCCATCAGGCAGTGGACCCCAGAAAGGGGCCTGACTTTGGGCAAAACAATTCTCTTCAGCCGAAGCACTTCCTCAGAGGGCTGACAGCTCTAGTCTGGACAGGGCAGTAGAGTACCCAGATGGTCCATGCCTTGTGCAGATGCGTTTTCCTCACATGAGTTCTGGATGTAGCTTCTTGCAGAACTCCGGGCGGGCCTGTTCCCTGGAAGGAAGGTTAGTAGCGTGAACTACATCCCCCTGCTGTTGTAGCTGGCATTAGGCTGCAACCAATACTCATCCTCTCTCTTTTCTGTGGTCCATTCTAGATTCTCTTCACTGTTGATTAGCACCTCTGAAGGTTTAGGTGACTTACCTCGTGGAGTGACAGATTCTTAAAACTGATGAGTTCCAGTTCCTGTTTATCATGTCCTTCTCGGGCTGCCCCTGCTGCTCTTGTCCATTTGCCATCAAAATTGCACAGGTACTAAAAGATGTCCTAGTTGAATACCGGGATGCCAAACATATGCCTCCCTGTCTCCACTGTGTAATCGTAGCTCTACTGTCTCTTGATAATAAGAGTCAACTACCCCCATGAGGATCTTTGTCTTGCCTGCTGGTCTTTGGCATGAAGGGCCCAAAATGCTGGGTGGTGGTATAGTTTAAAGTTCATTGAAGACTCTTGCTGTTCCTGGTAGAAATGTTTCCCCTTTGGAAACTAAGACCTTTAAACCTGTGGTTACGCTTGTGAGGATGAAAAACAGAAATTCCCCCAGTGGGTCATTGGGATTGATGGTACATAGGGATGCTCCTGCTTCCACAACTTTGATCACACTTCCAGGTGTTCTCCTGTGGGGGATACAGCATCATACAATGGTGATTGATTCAGAGCATGACTGCGTCCTGGAGAGTAGCACTTTATCCTCACGGGTATCATCTCCAAGCTGGTACTTCAGCTAATCTTTCTGGGCGGTATGCCATGTGACGGGTCCAAAGTCAATTCCATGGTCATATGCCCACTGCTACATCCCTCTGCTATGTAATGGGTTCCTTGATTGGATACAATGATATATGGGATGCCATAATGATGGATCAAATACAATATAAGCCCTTGGACAGTCATGTTGGCTGAGGCTCAGCAGGCAAGAAAGGCAAACCCATAGAATATGAGTCTATTCATGTTGAAATGAGTGACTGCCTCATCCAGGGTGGGAGGAGTCCAATATGGTTGCCTTTTCACCAAGGAGCTCTTTGGTATCTTCAAGGGATAGTGCAGTACTGAGTCTCAGCAATGATTCCTGTTGCCGGCAGGTTGATCATGTGGCCACGGGAATAGTTAAATTAATGTTGGTGAGTGGGAGATCATGCTTGTGGGCCCATGTATAGCTTTCCTCGTTACCATGTCTTTTCTGTTCATGAATCCACTGTGCCAGAACTGGGTGGCTGACGGAAAAGCTGTTTGGCACTAACTGGCTGAGTCATTCTACTTGGGTGTTTAATGCCTCTTCAATGGTAGATGCTCTCAGAATCTGTGGAGGAAAGGGATGGAAGCAAGATTGGGCAGAAAGAAAATAGGCTTCAGTACGGTCACAACCAGGGCTCAGCCAACCCTGTGGGAAGTTCTGAAGCTGGGATGATTCTTTAGAATTGTCCCTTACTGAGGTAAGGGAGTCTGGTCTTAACAATCCCACATTGATCAGTCATTTCTTGCAAGGTGCTCCTGGAAGGGGCATGACCTTGGGTAAGGTAGCATTCTTTAGTTAAGAAAATGACTGAAGAGGTCAGTGCATCACCTTCTCAGAAGCTGGGAGAGTAAGTCCTTCAGTCTTAAAGGAGAGATAGGCTGGAATAGCATAGCTTCCGTGAAAGAGACCATTACTATTTCTCACCAGTATATTTCACCCAAGCTTAATACAGTGCTTAGCACACAGTAGGCATTCAAAAGATCTTTTTGAGTAAATAAATTACTGAAATGTCCTGCTTTCTTAGTTTGGAGTATAAAGGTCAACATCTCATCCCACCTTCCAACATTTTACTATGAGAATTTCAAAATTTGAAGGAAAGTACAAAAACCATTTCCAGATTTAACATTTTGTTATATTTGCTCTCTCTTTTCATGGATAAATATGTGTACAGTATTAATCTGGTTTTTTTGTTTGTTTGTTTGCTGAACCATCTGCAGACCTCATGACACTCTGTCCTTAAACACTCAGGTATGCATCTCCTAACAATAAGGACATTCTCAATATTACTATGATCATATCTGAATAAATAACAGAACAATTTAAAAGTCACCTAATATCTAATATCGGCACATATTAAATCTCTATGATTCTCCACAAAATATCTTTTACAGCTTCAAAAAATTTTTCAACCATGATTCCACCCAAGGTTCGTGTATTACATTTGAATATCATTTTTCTTTAGTATCTTTTAAACTGGGACAGTCCCCCTCCCCTTTTTCCCCAATAGACTTAACTTTTTGAAGAGACCAAGGCTAGGAGGGTTCTTGTACCCCATTCCGGATTTGTCTGATTGTTTACTCATAGCGTCCTTTTGTTTGTCCCAGGTAACGTCACCTGCAATATTCCAAACCAATGAAGAAAGCCCCATCTGAGAATATTCTTCCTACCCCCTATCAGCACCCTAGCATCATTCCAAGAAGTCATCAAGATACATACTAATACCCAGAGGATCAGTCCTGCTTCACAGTCAATTGAAGTCAAAACTCTAGCTCCCTGGAAGACAAAAGACCTCATAACTCCTACCAGAAGCTGGTGGCTTCCTAATGAACCATGTTGCTCCTGGTGGTACTGCCATTGCTAAATGAAGGTGGCCCCAGCACCACTGCTGATGAATAAAGTAAATATGGCACTGTCAGTTCATGTGGTCAGTGCAGGGCTTCCATATTTAACAAGCTCTTTCATCTGACCAAGGACAAGGAAGCCACTCTAAACAGAGTGTATTGGGTCACCTTTATGCAGAAGGTGGTCTTGTGTAGGAGCAACATAGACACAATAAGTTCTGTGCTTCAGAGGGTCTCATGCCTGATCTAGGGAACAGAGTAGGTTTATCTCTTTATGTCACCTGTTCAGCATAGCATCTGCCCTCAGTGCAGGGGAAGAAATCAACCAGCAGAGTACTTTACTACTTTAGCCAGCGCTAAGACACTTGTTTGCTTATTGATGTGTTCTTGGGGTGACGGAAAAAAGGAATTAGAATAAAAATTCTTTTCCAATTCTCCATTACCACTTCTCTCAATCTTCCCCCCTCCCTGTTTTATGTTTATTTATTCCAACTATAAGAGCAGAAATTATCCCCAAAGTAGTTTGAGGTTGTAAAACTAATTGTGACTGATCACGTTTACCTGTTCGGTTAAGCTAATTGGAAAATCAAGGGGCGCTTTGTTGAGTGTCCAACTCTTGATTTCGGCTCAGGTCATGATCTTGGGGTTGTGAGATGGAGCCCTTCATTGGGCTCCATGCTCAGCAGAAAGTCTGCTTGGGATTCTCTGTCTCTCCCCCTCTGTCTGCCCCTCCTTCCCCACCCCCACCCCCTGGCTCTCTCTCCCTCTCTCTCAAATAAATAAAAAAATCTTAAAAAAAAAAAAAAAAGAAAGAAAATCAAGGTGGAATCTCTTTCTAGGTAGATTCTATATTTTACTACATTTGTAAAATCCCAAGACTTACTCCATCCTCAATTTTCAAAAAAATAATTATATTGTTTTTGCGGCTTTCAGAACAGATGTCTGTGTGTTACAACTGTGTATTACATAAACAGGTAAGCAATCTTATATAGCGAAATAAATGTTTCCTATTTAGCCATTACAAGAGTTGCTGGTTTTATGGCTTCTTTTTTTTTTTTTTTTTTTAAGATTTTATTTATTTACTGAGAGAGAGCATACATGAGCAGGGAGAAGGACAGAGACTCTCAAGCAGACTCCCCACTGAGCGTGGAGCCTGACACAGGGCTCAATTCCATGATCCTGAGATCATGACCTGAGCCAAGAGTCGGATGCTCAACTGACTGAGCCACCCAGGCACCCTTCATTAGGTTCTTGACAGATACTTTTTGCCAGCATAGTCATGTCTTAGCATGAACATTAAGGGGGATCCTCCCTTCCTGATGGAAGTAGAACCAAGTTTCTTCCTTAAAGTACTACTTATAAATTGAGTTATTTTGCCCAGTAGTTTAGAGTGGTCTAAAATAATCTTGTTTGGAACAAGTAATTTTGCTACTTTTAGATAACAATTACAGAGAGCTTTTGAAGTTGGGGAAAAAAAGGTAAAAAAATCACCTAGCACTAGTCTACAGGCCAATTTTAGGTTAAGAGGCTATGATTTGTCTGAGAGAAAGTTACTGAATCCAACAAATAACACTAATACTAATAAATATGTCAGTCTTAACAGCAATGTTAACCAATTAGGTTTCCTTTGTCCCAGAGTAACTGAGGTCACCAAGTCCAGCTATATAGGGTTACTCACTTTTCCTAAATAAATAATACTGTTTCATGCCTTCCTACCTTTGAACATACTATTCTCTCTTCTGGAAGGTCTTTCTCTCCCTTCCATCTAACTACTACATGTCCTCCAAATTCATTTTCCCAGGAAGTTTTTTTCCTGGCCTTCTAATAGTGGTCCTTCCTTTGTGTTCACCTGGCACCCTGTATCATACTTTTCACACTGTACTGGAATAATGAAACAAACTACATATTCCTTGAGATCAGCAACCATGTCTTATCCAACCTTTTACTCTCAAAGATGTGCCAAGTATAGCATCTGGCACATGATAAGCAGTGAGTGCTCAGGAAGTATTTGATGACTCAAACCCCAAACCTCAATATTTTTCTCAAACAAGTATGTTTTACAGAAGCTCTTTTGATCAGATGGTAGCGTAAAGAAACTGACATCAGTTTTTTTGTGTGTGGGTTTTTGTTGTTTTGTTTTGTTTTTTTTGAACAAAGTAGGCTCAAGAATTTTTAGTAAATTCACTAACTGCTACAACCTTGATGGTGCCACTTCATTCAGTGGATATGGAGGGTCTACCACATTGACCTTCATTCAGTGGATATTGTATTAAGCCCAGAAGTCCTGTTTCAAAGACTTCATAATCTAAGGAAGAAGATAGCAATAGACAATTTACCTCTTATGGAAAATGTACATTTCTAGGCAGAGTGAGACTTATGTATCAAAATATGTAGTTGCCAGGAAATTAGGAAGAAGTTACTGCAGACACTGTCTGAATGAATTTCAAATGCTGAAGCTGTTGAATCAGGGAGGAGGATGCAGAGAAGGAACACAGGAGTAGGTGGTATTTGATCTGGATTTTGAAAGATGAGTAGGAGACTGATTAGTACCTTGGGGTGTTGTTAAAGATAACCAGAACTCCACAATAGTTAAAGCAGTAAACAGATTTTATTCAGAACTATTGGCAATAGGAGAAAAGAGACCTCAGTATACAACTGGGCTTGATTGCACTACGGCAATAGTTTTTGAATAAAATCTGTTTTAATGCCTTAAGTACTGTCTGACTCTGGTTTTCTTTAAGAGGGAGAGGGTAGTGATTCCAGGGCATTTCAGAGTCGTGAAAGAATGAATGAATGCAAAGACAGGTAAAGCAACTTAGGGGAAAAGTTAGTAATCCAAAAAAAGTTGAGTAGTCAAGGAAAACAGGAATTCTCTGTAGCCAGAGCCTAAAGTACTGCTGAGGAAGTGCTGGAAGATGTGGAAAAGCAGCCTCCTTCCAGTAGATTGAGTTGTTTGGTGATACTTAGAAAATGTTTTTCTCTTTATTCATGGGAGTTCAAGCGGGAAAGGTAAGTCTGAAAAAGACTGCTTAGAAAGTTATGCCAAGAAGTTTGGACTTTATTCTGTAGCCTGTGAAGCGAACTGGAGTTTTCAAAGGCTGTACTATACTTTATAAAGATGATTGTGGTCTCAACAGATGACAAGCTAGAGCAGCACAAAGCAACCCCGGCCCCAGTTTACTCATTCATAAGAAGGAAAGGCTTGGGTCATTTGCTGTCTTAGGTCCCTTACAATCCTGGGGGCATGCTTCCGAGGTACGTCTGCCTTCCTTTCCTCACCTGGGCCCCATGCCTCACTCCCTCCTTCCTTCGGGTCAGGATCCAGTTGCCACCTTCCCTACCTTCCCGCCTAGCGCCGCTGCTCTCGGACCGGTAGGAAATGGGGGGCGGGAGAGACATCTCTGGAGTTCAGCGAGTCCTCCTCCGAAACCCTCTGACCTCGGCAGCACCACCTGGGTAGGCTAGAGGGAGCAGGACGCGCCACGGGGCAGGGAGAGGGGTGTGCAGTCGCTTTTCCGTCCTAGGTCCCCGCGGGAGGCTAGCCGGCCGTCCCCACGGCGAAACAAGCCATCGGGGAGGGCAGCGGGAGCCAGTCCCTCGAGCGTCCCTGGCTCCCTGAGACAAAAGCCTGCGAGTCTCGGCGGTCACCGAGCTCCACCGAGACTCCCCTCGGAGACCCCCGCCCTAGAGCCCAAGGACGCCCACTCCGGGGCACCGCCAGGTGGGAGGCGGAGCCCGGAGGCCGCCGGGCGCGCGCGGCGTCGGCGTCACGTGAGGCGGCCCGGCCACGTGACCCGGCGGCCCGGCCCCTGGCGCCCGCCCCCCGCTCCTCCCCTTCGCCGGGCGTCCGGGCCGCTGCTGCCAGTGGGTTCTCCGGCCCGCCGAGCTCCCGGGATCCCCGCGGCTGGGCCCGGCCGGACGGCGTGAGACAGCGGCTTGGCGTCCCAGGTAGCTGGTGGGGCGCGGGCCCGAGTTCACGGGCGCCGCTTCCGCCCCTGCCCTTCTCCTTGCTCCCGTTCCCCGCGGGCCGGGCTGGCGCGTCCCGTTCTCCTGCCCGCTCCCTCCCTCCGGCTGCGGGCCTCGGCCCCCCGGCCCCCCGGCCCCCCGGCCCCCGGCCGCGGGTCCGCGGGGCGCTGCGTCCCGGCGGATGTCTGCGACGCCAGCACGGCACCCTGAGCACCTCTGCTGGCGTTTCTTCCGAGGGGGCGAGAAAGGGTGGGGGGAGGCTAGCGAAAGTTTTCCCGGCTCCCTCTCTTCTTTGAGCTGTTGGGACGCAGCTTTGCTCCCAGCTGAAGCCTGTTACCACTCTCGGCGCTGTTCTGCGGAGAAGAGACCTCCCCTCCGACTCTCCTCCCCATCCTCACTCGGCCCTTGCCAAGATCTTAGCATCTCCTCCTTCACCTCCGGAGGGTAGTGGTGTCACAAACCATATTCTCCACTGTTTCCCTTTCCTCCACAACACGGCTTCCGCAAAGGGGCATTCACTTAGGGACCTTTATCCAGGAGTGCGGCGAACTGAGTGAAATACTTCTCTTGTCCTCCCTCGGGTATACTACCTACTCTGTTTTATAGGAGGTGACCATCGAGGCATGCTCTGTTCTTTCGTTAGTGGCTTTTTGTGTATTTGTTTGCATGCGAGACATTCCGATGTCATCTTTGCAGCTGGGGATTACAATTTTATAAAGCAGTATTATAATATTGCTTAAAAATTCAGATTCCAAGTCTTATTTGACTTTGGCCTATTTGGGGGGGGATTATAGTTCTTGGGGGCAAAAACTGAGTTTCTGAGACAGTTGTGCATTGTGGAATAGTAACATCAAAACATCACGGTATATCATGCTGAAAGGAATGGATACATGAGCTAACCCTGAGGGCAGTTTATAGTGTGCTTTAAACTTTAGAAAGTATCCATTTGAAGTGAGCACTGGGTGAATTTCACCTCTCTGAAGTGCTTTCAGGGTTGAGTAGGTAACTGTGTATTTCCATTCTGTTAATATAGCAGTTAATCTGTGAGGTGGGTATCTTTTAATCCATTGTGTGAATACCAGTCTATTTATTAAGTACTTCTGGACAGGTCCTATTTTTTCTTCCCTCTAGAAGAAGAGGAAGGATATTAATCATTAAAGAGATTTCTTCTACAGTGATTTTTATGGGTGTGATCCAAATGATCAAATTCTGGGAACTTCAGAAAGCAAATAGCCTTAAAAAGCTATCTAGTTTGTAGCTTAAAAAAATTCTTTACAGTTTTTAAAAATGAAGAGTGCCAACGTGTTCTAGCAAGAGCTTTGGCTTCATCTTAATCAGCAGCTCAAGCTGGGAAGTCGACAGTGTCCTCCTTTATTTGAAAGTCACTGTGGGGAAGGTGAAACTGAAAGGAAATCAAAGACCATTATTATTATTCTTTCTGGGTGTACTACATTAAACAGTAATTCATGCATCATAAACAAGGTGGGGATGCTCAAGGATTCTAGAGTACAGCCAGGGCATTAGGACACATTTTTAAGATATTCTGTGGTTTAAAAAAAAATCTAAAAATGTTACATATTGTGTACATGTTGAGGAATGCACAGGAGGCATACGATAAATGCTGTTTGAGTTTAACCAGAATAGACTTCATAGAGGAGGTCAGTTAATCAAGTGATTAATCAAGTGATTAAATCAGTTATGTATTTGAGCCATAACATGGACTTAATTTTTTAAAATTTCTAAGTACATTAAGTCCACAATATAGACTTTTTTTTTTTTAATTTTGCAAGGAAGCAATGAAATTTAGAATCTACAGAAGCATAGGGCGCCTGGGTGGCTCAGTCGTTAGGCGTCTGCCTTCGGCTCAGGTCATGATCCCAGGGTCCTGGGATCGAGTCCCGCATCGGGCTCCCTGCTCGGCAAGAAGCCTGCTTCTCCCTCTCACATTCCCCCTGCTTGTATTCCTGCTCTTGCTGTCTCTCTCTCTGTCAAATAAATAAATAAAATCTTTAAAAAAAAAAAAAGAAACTACAGAAGCATAAAAAAGAATGTCTATCACCTATAATTATACCATCTGAAGATAACAGCAGTTAATATTTTGGGGCGTACATCCTTTTTACTATACAAATTTACTGGGTTGCTGTGTTCAGATAGAGTTCAGGTAATAAGAGCTACTGTGATATACAAATCTAGTTCATACCTGGGTCTAGGAGAGTCAATAGCAAAGGTTTGAGTATTGAGGAACTTAGCCAGATCTATATAATTTTGAGTTTAGATGGAGTTTTTTTTTTAGTATTAGATTTTAATAAATGAGATCATACTCATGCATACCTAAGAAATCGTAAAGTGTGAAAGGACTTTAGGAGGTAATGAATTTCAGTTGGGAAAGACTATACTCAGGCCATTCCCGAAAGATAGTATCTATACTTCCCACAGCCCCAGAAAAGAAGATTCCATGGCTTTCCTGAGATTAGCATTCCACAGGGGCAAAAGAGTATGTTTGCTGAGATGTTCTTTTCGATGCTTAAGAAAAAGTTTTAGTTTTGGAGATGGACCAAGTCTGTCGGGTTCTAGTGCTTCAGTCATGAGCTCAACTAGTATAGTGGAAACATCTAGTAATATTGTTGACAGCTGTGGTGAAGTGTTTCTGAGATTACTGCCAGCAATTCTTCCCATCCCTATGTTGACTGCACTACCTCCCATTAAGAGATGGAGTCTCTATCTGCTCCGTTTGAATCTCGGAGGAGAGGCCACCTGCAGTGGCCGCGCTATGTGAGTGAGGCCCGTGTCAGCCTTTACTTAAGCTCCCAGTGCCCATGACCTCATGAGTACCTCACAGAATTGAAAGAAATAACAAACAGCTCTTGTTTTAAGCCACTGAGTTTTGGGATGGTATGTTACTTAGCAAAAGATGATTGAAACAACAACATAGCACCTTGTGCCATATAATCCTTGGTGTAAATCTGGTTCACATATATGTCAGTCCCAAGATGTGATCCCTGAGCACAAAACTGAGATCAGGATATGCAGTAGTGTGCCTTAGTGATAAATCTCTAAATTATTAAATCTTTACTTCATATTACATAAGGATGTACTTACTGAATAAATTTAACTGCTGTGACAGTATCTTGTACTCTACGAGGTAACTGATTATGTCAAAAATCAGTGAACATGTTTTAAAGGAATTACCCATTATTGAGGTGAATGGATATGTGGTGTTTTCTTGCAGTTTGCCGTTTGATGAATTTAGTACCATGATTGTAGTTGTAAATACTTAAAGTACAGATGTAAGATCTGCTGCAGTGAACACATGTTTGAGAGGTGCTTTGTTCTCAAGGGTCAAGAAGAGTGAATCTTAGGCAAACTGTCATTTCAAATGTGTATATTACAGGACTTTCAGCAAGCAGATGATCTATTGTTCAGGAGCACTTGTCTCATTATGTTTAAACGAGCAACTTCCCATTCCAAGTCCGGTTAGATCAGTTTAAGGGGAACAAACCACTTCACTGGAGAAGAAAAACTCACAGGAGCTCAGATGGGTACTTCTACAGACTTAAGGTTTCCAACTTCCTCTGGGCTCTGTCTTAGCACCTCTATAAGTTCCTCTGGTCAGTCCTCTTTTCTCACAGGGAGAAAAAGGTGACCTCAAAAGAGAATGGCCCCAAATGCAAATCAAACCCACAGTGAGATACTACTTCACACCCACTAGGTTGGCAATGATAAAAAAGACAATAATAAGTGTTGGTGAGGATATGGGGAGGTTGGAACCCTCATAAATTGCTGGTGGAAAAATGTAGAGGGGGGGTAGAGAAAGAGAAGAGAAAGAAATAGCTTCCAACTTCTGGTGCCCCAACCTTGAAACTCACTTCTATCCATATCTATCCTTTCCTCCTCTTGTGTTTTCACAGAAGACTCTCCCCCTTTCTACAGCTTATCTTGTACCTCTGCTTCAGATTCCACTTCTGTTACTTTCTCAGAAACCTTATTTAGTTGTTATGTCCTGTCCTTATCTTTCTCTCTACGGGCTCCTTCCCATTAACATTTAAATATTTTTCAGTCTCTGGGGGCACCTGGCTGGCTCAGTCGGAAGAGCATGTGACTCTTGGTCTCGGGGTTGTGAGTTCGAGCCCCACGTTGGGTGTAGAAATTACTTGAAAATAAAATCATTAAAAATATATTTTTTAAGTCTCTCATATGTTTAAAACAAAGAGATCACCCAAAATATGTCCTTCAACCTATTTCTCTTTTCCTTCACAAACTTCGTGTCGTGAACATGTGTTGTTTATATTGTTTCCTCCTCTTCACCTTTCACATGCTCCTCAACCTGGTGCAATTTGGCCTTGTCCACCCACAACTTCAACAAAATTCTTCTTGTGGAAGTCACCAGTGATTGTTGTTAAATCCAGTGGATCTTTCTTTGTCCTTACCTAGTTTGGTCTCAGCAGCATTAGACCCTGACACTACCTTCTTTGTGTGATATTCATGTCCCTAGGCTTCTATGACACCGTTTTCTCCTGGTTTTCTTCCTACTCTGCCTGTTCCTTCACAGACCAGACTCTTCTGCAGGGTATTCCTTGTCTCTCTGCTATTGGACTTTCTTAGAGTTCTTTCCAAGATCCTGTTCTCTCCTTGCTCCATATGCTTTTCCCTTGGTGATCTCGTGCCAAATTTCCAAATATCCAATCCAGATCTTTCTTGATCTTCAGATTTATAAATCTACCTATTGGACATATCCACTTTGATATCCCATAGGTAGCTAAACGTAAAATGTCCAGGGTAGAATTCCTCATCCTCCCCCAAAATTGGCTGTG